ATATATATATATATATATATATATATATATATATATATATATATATATATATATATATATATATACATATTATAAGCGATTCTATTATATTTATTTGGTAACGCTGCTTCCTGCAAGTTTTAAGTACTTGACACATTTAATAATAATAATAAAATGTACTTTTTTTTTTAAAAATAACGCTTCATCCCCAAAGGCTCGAAACGAGGTACAAAGTGAACAATATTAAGAGAGAAATGAAACAATCTAAATTTTACCACATTAAAACACAATTCGCAACCCTACAAAAACTACAAACGAGCAAGCCCATTCAAAGTCTTTTATCCCATTCAACTATAAACAACTCAAGCCGAGTTACATCTACTAGATCTAGGAGATAATAACTAGCTGGGGAAAAAATGGTAGACAACATTACCCCAGCAGATGTTTGTGGAATAGATGTGTTTTCAAATCGGTTATGAAGGATTCCGGTGTCTGGCTCTTTCTGAGAGCGACAGGAAGGGTATTCCAAATTGTTGGGCAAGCAAATGCGAAAGTGCACCCCCCGTAAGTCTCAAGGCGAACACGCGGTTTCGAGAGTTTGCCACTATCGGATGAACGGAGTTGTCTAGTGGGTACATAAGGCGTCATGAGCGCTTTGAGATAGGACGGCGCCAGGTCATGCAAGAAGCGGTAGCACAGAGTTGCAATTTTTTACTCTATGCGAGCACGGACTGGCAGCCAATTCAGCTCTTTCAGAAGTAATCAAAAGGAAGACAAGTTCCTGTTGGTGATATTGGTGGAGAGATTGTGGCATGAGATTGTTGGAGAGAGTATGGTATGAGATTGTTGGTGGAGAGATTGAATCATTAGATTGTAATATGAAATTTTTATATAAATGGTGATATGAGATTGTTAGAGAGATTGTGGCATGAGATTATTGAAGAGATAGTGGTTTGAGATTGTTTAAGAGATTGTGATATTAGCTTGTTTGAGAGATAGTGGTATTAGACTGTTGGAGAGAATGTGGTACCGGGTATGACATTGTGTTGAGAAATAAAGATGAGGTAATGGGAGAGATTATGATATGATATTATGAGACAGGGTATGGTATTAGATTTTGGGAGAGATTATGGTATGATATTAATTAAGGAAATGTGTGGTGAGATTATGTGAGAGTGCTCGAGATGACCATTGTGTCTATGAAAGAAAATATGTAAGAAATATCCAAATTAGATTGTGTGAGAGATTACGGGATGTGATTATTGGAGCTATTATGGTATGGTATTATGTTATGAAAGAGATTGTGATATGAGATCATGGGAAAGATAACAGTATGGGGTTATGTGAGCTATTATGGTATGAAATTTAGCGAGGGATTGTGGTACAAGATTATGTGAGAGATAGCGGGGCGTGATTATTAGCAATGCAAATGTGACCCCCGTGACTTTTAGGGACCCCGTGACTTTTAGGGACCCCGCGACTTTTAGGGACCCCGTGACTTTTAGGGACCCGCGACTTTTAGGATGTCCGTGACTTTTAGGGACCCCGTGACTTTTAGGGACCCCGTGACTTTTAGGGACCCCGCGACTTTTGGGGACCCCGTGACTTTTAGGGACCCGCGACTTTTAGGATGTCCGTGACTTTTAGGGACCCCGTGACTTTTAGGGACCCCGTGACTTTTAGGGACCCCGCGACTTTTAGGGACCCCGCGACTTTTAGGGACCCACGACTTTTAGTGTCCGTGACTTTTAGGGTGTACGTGACTTTTAAGGTGTCCGTGACTTTTAGCGTGTCCGTGACTTTTAGGGACCCCGTGACTTTTAGGGACCCCGCGACTTTTAGGGACCCCGCGACTTTTAGGGACCCGCGACTTTTAGGGTGTACGTGACTTTTAGGGTGTCCGTGACTTTTAGGGACCCGCGGCTTTTAGGGTGTCCGTGACTTTTAGGGTGTCCGTGACTTTTAGGGCCCCCGTGACTTTTAGGGACCCCGTGACTATTAGGTACCCGCGACTTTTAGGGTGTACGTGACTTTTAGGGTGTCCGTGACTTTTAGGGACCCCGTGACTTTTAGGGACCCCGTGACTTTTAGGGACCCCGCGACTTTTAGGGACCCCGTGCCAATAAAAAAAAGGAATAAAATAAGAGAAACAAGTCCAGAACTTTTCCTTAAATTATGATAATCCAGTGTAGAATTTTAACGCCAGCAGGAATGTAAAGACTAAATAGTACGATGTCATCCAATGGTGTCAGTGAATAAGCAACCAGAGATGTATTGCCGTGACGTAATATTTAACAAACGCTAACTCGAACTCAATGTGAAGGATCTGGATAACCCCTTTGCAGGAGTGGACTGGGCCGCCGGGACATCGGGAAGATTCCCGATGGGCCGCTAGGACCGGTGATATAATAAAAATAAAAGTCATGAAGATAGGGCCGCTTTTTTTTTTTTCCCCGGGCCACTTTGATTTTTTTCCCCGGGCCGCTTGAACTCCCCAGTCCACCCCTTCCCCTGTGTAAGGGTCGTTCGAACGACCCNCCCCCCCCCCCACTGAAGGTGTCGCAACCCACAGGTTGAGAACTATTGCTTTAAAGTTAAAGAATTAACTTAACTCTCCCGTTTCTCCAAAAAGTCAACGTGTCAATCATTTCATCAAAATCTCTTTACATTATCCACTTTTAATTGTAGGTAAAAGAAACAACAACAAAAAAATCACCAGACCAGAAAGCACGAATTGTTCCGTGGTAGATAGTGAAAAAGTTCGTTATAAATTTTTTGAATCCACAGACACATCGATTTTGAAAAGTAAGTAAGTGCAGGCTTAAGGAGAGGTTTTCGGAGAGATTCACAGCTATGCTCTGGTGAAATCCTTCTTAGTTTGCACCGTTTTGTTTGCAACCTACTCTGATGGCGCCCTGCCGTGTTATGGGAACAACCTGATCTGTTAGCACCCTGCTCTAGGGTCACCCTGTCAATGTGACACCATGTTCTTCTGGCTCCCTGTTCTGTTTGCAACCTACTCTTCTTTGTCTGTTGACACCCTACTCTGGTTAAATCCTGTTCTGGTGGCACCCCCTGCTATGGTTACAAACTGTTCTGGTGGCACCCTTCTCTGGTGGCGCCCCTGCTCTTTTGGCTACCTGTTCTGGTAGCACCATTTAACTGAATTCCGAAACAGACTCGAACGATCTCTGTCAAATTTGCATTTTTCTTCTTTTTTTTTTTGGGGGGGGGGG